AGCCTGGAGCCGTCACAGCCCCATAACCTGTGGTGCACAGACCCTTCACGGGCCTTGCACCATCTGCAAAACGGGTCCAAGCTGTATCGCTGCTTGAACAGATCTTTCTGCGTCCAGAGGCCTCCAGAAACCTGAGCAATAAGTAGGCTGATCCCAAGATGGTCCCCTCTCTTTCTCTGCTCTGCGATAACGCCTCTGATCGGTTCCAGGAAAGGCTCCCAAGACAGGTCGTAAAACTCGCTAACCTTCTTTAAACTGAGCTGCTCGGTGGCGTCGTCTACGAGGGCCTTGACCGTACGAGGACCCAACTCGCGCAAGTCCAGACGGAGCCCCGACGAAGCGACCCAACTACACCAGGAGGTCCCTGTCCAGCCCAGCCTATTCAGCGTCTGTACCACCGCTCCAGCTGGGCCTATGACTCCACTCCAGCCTCGAGCAGCATCTCTATTGGCCTTGTCGAAGGCCGTCTGCATCTGCGCCTCCGATGACCACTGCAAAAATATTGCCTTGCACCACGTCATGAGCGGCAAGGCGTTCGCCAGGAACGACGGGTCAACCTGCGGCACCTCTGCCAGCAAAAACTGCACTGCCCTGCACCTTCCTTTGGCTGGGCCAAAAAGCGCAGCTGCCGTCGTGGCGCGCTGCTTCTGGAGTGCGGTGTTGGACATCCCCACCACCCCCACCCCATACATCGCAGCAGGCGTACCCCCTCCTCTGAAGACCTGCTGATTCGGTTTTTTCGAGAATCGGAACGCTCGATATCGTCGCACTCTGCCTCGCACAATGGTGATTCGTTTATTCGTCACCTGCCTGCCCTTGTTGAAGGCCAACTTAAAGTCTACGCCCAGGTTCTTGGCCGCGGGCACATACTTGAAACTGAACTCTCTCAAACTATGCTGCAGAGAACGGCCCACTTTGATGTCGGATGCCACTAGAATGCATTTCTTCCTGGAAACCTTCATCTCCAAGGCCTCCAAACCCCGACAAAACTGCAACGTTCCCGACACCAGTGCTTTCTTCACGAACTGCTCTGGCCCCAACGCTTGGATGGTGGAATCGTCGACCATGAGCGCCAACCCAAGACGGGGCCATCTCGACATAAACTCGTCACAAACATCTTTAAGCACTATCTTCAACAGCGTCGTCGCGAACGAACACCCCGCGACTATGCTGCTGTTGACTGCGAAAGGGAGGGACAGGGCCTCGCCCACCTTGATGCTGCGAGGCCCACCATAAACTAAGAGGAGCACTCGTATGCGTCTGATACTAAATCCATGCCGATGGCACGAACGAAGCAAGAGCTGGTGCGTCACTCTCTCATACGCCTTCTCGAGATCAATCAGCGTGCAGGCACTCAAAAACTTGCTGGCGATAGCCGCCTCATTGTTAATCGCTTGCCTCCATACCGCCATCTCACAGCTCCGTCCCTTCCCCCCGTACATGTACTCCTTGTGGTTCGCCTCCTCCCATCTCTCCGCCTCCCTATGTCGCAATCTCCCCAGAACGCGCACTGGTGTGGGCAAAATACCAATAGGTCGCCGCCCACCTTCTGGTTTCTGGAGGAAAGGGAGGATGAGCAGCGCGATCTGCTCAGGAAGACAAACGAACTTCTCCCACATGTGCAGCAGGAGACCAAATACACGAAGGCCTTCATCACTCAGTGACTTCAAAAGTGCAGGCGGCCACCTGCAAGCCCCCACTGCCGTGCGCCTTTTAAACTTCCCAAGAACTCGGCGTAACTCCTGGGGCTCTGGTGGCTCTGGAGGGTCATCCATGGGTAACGACTGCAGAAAATCGGCCTCTGGCTCCTTCAGGTCACCATACCTCCAGATGCCCTTCCATTCACTTTCGAGGGCCTCAATCTGGTCCATCGCTCCTCCTGGGCTTCCATCAGGGCCTGGCTCATCTGGGATCCATTCATTCGGGACCTTCACCCACCTGTGAACCATACTCCCCCCGTTTGACACCGCCTCTGAAGCCCAAGATCTCCACTTCTTTTGACGCTGCCTGACCCAAGAAGCCTCCTCAGACTGGATCAGCTTGCTCAAATCGAACAAGGCGTCCCTGATAGAGTCCGCCTCGTATCCTCTGAAACTAAAATGACATGCACGCCACTCCCGCCAGCCAGAAGAGTGCCAGAGTACCTCGGGAGCCTTCTGAAGCTTTCGGTTGATTTCACATACCTGCATGTCATCATCGTCGTATCCCTTACGCTTGAGGTGCCCCAACTCTTCAAGGCGTGTGTGGAACTTCCGCATCGCTCTAGACACTGGCGACCCGAGAGGATGTGGCCCGCCAACCTTGACAATGGCTGGCTTATACACGTACTTAAACTTGTCGCCTCTGCCGAAAAAGTTCCCCTTGGAGCCCGACAGCTCCAGCTGGTACGTGTCCGCGAGCTCTAGCTCGGCTGCCTGACAAAATGATGCATAAGCCTGCGAGACCTGAGCTTGCGTGACTGCTGGTTCACGAACCAACTGCTCAACCTGAATCTGAATGCCTTCCCACCATCCTGGCGGGGCTGGCGCTGGGCCGATCGGAAGATCAGGGAACCTCTTGGGTGTCCACAAATATCTGATCTGACCCAGATGAGTGCTAGTCCTGATCGACATTCTGATGGGGTAGTGGGTGGGCAACTCAGACCCTTCCAATCGATCGCAGCGCCAAACACAGGGCACTAAGCTCGCCGACACAATGAAGAAGTCAATCTCACGCCAATCCTTGCCCACTCTGCACGTAGGCTTGCCAGTCAGAATTATGACCCCGTCGATTTTCTCTAGTAAACCAGTGCCTCTCACCTCAGATTCCAGAGCGTTGAAGTCGCCGCCAATGACGAACGGCTTTCCCATGGAGAACAGAAGCTCCCCAACCTGGAAAAGAATGCGACGGCCCTCGGCACCTACACCATCCCCGCTCGGGAGGTAAACACTGGCAGCGTGGAAACCTCCCGCGACACAACCGCCGACCCAAGCCACGACGGCCCTGGAATGGGGTCGCGGCTCCAAGGGATTGCTGCCCATGCCTACCCCCTTGCGGACGGCCAAACCTACCCCTGCTGATAAACCTTCAGACTGGGTCACATCACAGGTCCCAAAACGAACACTCCATCCTACCTTGGCCAAGGTGTTCGACGCCTGAGCGGTGTCGCCTACCTTGACCTTCGTCTCTTGAAGGAAACAAACCTTCGACTGACATTCGGCCTCTAAAAAAGACTGGCACCGTGGCCAGCTTGTGACGTTAGCTGAGACAAAATCCCAACTCAGGCCGTCAGGAGCCGCACGAGCGTGTCGGTGACCTGCTGCGGTTGCCCCTCTTGCCAGCCTCCTCTCTCTCCTTCTCCATCTGCTCTTTGACTTTGTCCAGCACGGAAGAGACACACTGCTGCGCCCGTTCATCGCCATGGAACTCCGAACGTAGTCCATCTCCCACTCGGGCGAGGGCGTTGTCGACTCCCTCCATGTGTTCGTCCTGCTGGTCCTCGTCGATCTCGATGTCCGTTGCGTGCCCTCCACTGCCTCGGCCGCGAGCAGCATCAGCACGAGCTGCACGGCGACTCTCAGCACTGGCGGCATTCTCCACTTCACCACGCCTTTCCCGCTTCGCCCTCGGCTGGCCGCCCCCCGCGGGCCCTGGGCTGCCTGGGGCTGCGCCGCCTGCGGCTGTGGCGGCGGCCGCGGCAGAGGGCACCTTCGCCTCCGCCGCTGCCACCGCCGCCTCCAGCGTCTCGCGCATCGTGTCGAAGGCCTTGCGCAAGCCCTCGCCCGCTTCCCCTCGGGGAGGGCTCCGACGAAGGCGTCGAGCGCCTGCTGCAGGGGCTGGGCGAGAGACACTGGCGGCGCCGCCCGCCCTTCGCCCGCACCGCCCTGCGCGCCCAGCGAGAGCCCGCGGGCCTTCGCGTCCTCGAGCTGCTTCTGGACGATGTCCAGCTCCTCCTGCGCCGCGATGGCGGCCTTGACCGCCTCCTCGGCCTTCGACTGCATGCGCGCCACCTTCTGCTTGAGGTGCACCATCTGCTGGCTGTACTTCCCAATGAGCGTGTTGATCTGCGCGGCCTCCGCCTTGGCCCCAGAGAGGCCATAGTTCTGGAGCGCGCGCTGGTGCATGAGTGAATCCCTCTGGTGTCGTGGGATGGACTGCGAGGCAAGCGCGAACTGCTCCTCCGAGAGATTGAGCCACAAAGACTTCTCCTCGGCCGTGAGCTCACGCTTGGGAGGGGGAGACGCCTTGCCTCCTCCCCCCCCACCTCCACCGCCACCACCTCCTTTCCCTCTGAAGCCGTTCTCCTTGCCGCCGCCGCCTCCAGGGATGAAGGCTCCGCCGCCTTTACCCCCTTTGCCGCCGCCGCCGAACCCACCCATGCCCCACCACGGATTTCCCCAGGAGAACTGGACCTGCGGGATGGGGCCTTGAGGGTTCCGTCCGTTGCAGCCTGCCTGCTTGCAAGTGCCTCGGTGCCCGAAGTTGTGGAAGCCACAGGTCCCGCACGTCCACGCCGGCGCCATGGCCGCGTCTCAGCACGAAGGGACCTCGCTCGCAAATCACGGCGGCTCGGGCAGCTCGCCGTGGGTTCAAAGAAAACCTCGGCCTCCTGACGGCCTCGAGAGTGGCCACGGATTGCCAAGGCTAATCGCTGATTCTCGGGCGTCTATAGCCCTTCACAACGTTTAACCTTGAGCCAAAATGGCTACGGACCCTTCTCCTCCTCCTCCTCCTCCTCCTCCTCCTCCTCCTCCTCCTCCTCCTCCCTTCTCCTCCTCCCTCCTCCACCTCCTCCTTTCCCTCCTCCTCCTCCTCCTCCTCCTCCTCCTCCTCCTCTCCTCCTCTCCTTTCTCCTTCGTCTCCCTTCCATCCTCCTCTCCTCCTCCTCCTCCTCCTCCTCCTCCTCCTCCTCCTCCTCCTCTCCCTTCTCCTCCTCCTCCTCCTCCTCCTCCTCCTCCTCCTCCTCTTCCTCCCCTATGCTCCTCGACCTGACGACCCCATCCTGTGCGCCGCGGGGATGGGCGCCTCCCGACGCGCCCGGCGGCTCGACGTTTTGCGCCGACGCCGCCGCCGCCGGCGAGAGCCTGCTGCTCCGGGGAGACGGCCTGTCGTTCAGATCCGCCGCCGCGCCTGCAGCGGCTGGTGTGCGTCGGGCCCCGTTGCCTTCTGCGCAACAGTAACTACACCAGAGAAAAACCCCAACCAATTGATGGTCTGACATGGGATCAATCAATAGATCGATAACAAAATCGATAAAAGATCGACCGGGAAACCCGGAAACCCCGAACCAACCGAGATCGGACCAGAACCAATGACCAAGAGCCCAGGAACCCGAAACCAGGAACCAGGGAACCCAGCCGGCCACCAACATCGGCGGGACACTTTCGCCAAATCTTTCCATTTCCACTAGGACCCCTTCAGTGCAAGCACTGATTGGGGAATGCGTGCCCCCGACGCAACGAGCCCTAGATGCGTTCGTTGTTGTGGCCGAGCCCCTGCGTTTCGGAAGCTCCCAGCAAAACATCGCCCCCACTATAAGGCCTGGGCGGTTTCATGGACCCCACCCCTACCACTCCCGAAGGCCCTCCCCCCCCCCCGCGCCCGCCCGAGCGCGGTGGCGGCATCGTGCAGCAGCGCAACTGGATTGCCGCTCTCGATGACGGGCTTCTCCACCTTCTCCTCTGGCGAGTTGCGGGGCCAGTGTAGATCCCAGCCTTTCGTAACGATTTTCAGCCCTGGCAGCTCTCCCCAACTGTCGGCCCCTGGAGGTCGCTTTCTGGGCTCCTGCAAAGCCATCAACACACCATCCAAGACGAGATACCGGCCTGGCGGAAATGGGTCAAGCAGCGGCAGGGAGACCATTGGACACAACATTCCTACAAAACATAGAAAAGTCGGAGGTCTGGACATGGGAGCCAGAATCGCACCTCGGCGGCGAGACTCGGGGGAAAGCGAGAAAGAAAAGGCCTCCTCGGGAGGCTCGGAAGTCTCCTGGCCTTCCGAGAAATGTTCTGAGCCTTCCCGGGAGACACCCCAAAACTTCTCAAAAGGCTGGAGGCCCACCGCATGCTGAGGAGGACTTCTCTTGCTCGTTTCCCCCCCTCTCGCTCGCCGCCGAGCGCCGCGATGCGAGGCCGGAGGAAGGTCCAGCTTCAGACCGCGCCGCGCCGCGCCACCCGCGCGCCGTCGGCGGCGCGCCGAGGTCCTGGGACCTCGGTGCAGTCGGACCGGGGCCAGACGGACGTGCCTCAGGAACGCGAGACCCTCCGCCGGCCAAAACACGCAAACATCCAATTAACGGGCGAAGAACGGTATAAAAGAAACGTTTTCGCTATCGGGGGCGCCTGTCCCTGGGCGGCTGGAAAGTTTATACCCTTACGGTGGCACCGTAGGGGCATAAACTTTCCAGCCGCCCGGGGACAGGCGCCCCCGACAGCGAAACATATCATTTCATACCGTTCTTCGCTCGCCGATCCAAGGGTGCCCCTCCGCGGGATGCACAAGAAGATCCAACAAGCACGAAGATAACACCAGGTAGGGCACCCGTCCCGAACCGACCTCGGCCGTGTGCCTCGGTCCGACTGCTAAAGTGCCCCCGTTCAAGCGGCCCTGGTCCTTCTCCCCGAGCATCGCGTCCGCGCCAGGCCTGCCGCTGGGAGGATTCACGAAGCGGTCAGGTTCTTCGAGACATGTAGACTGCTGTTAAACTTGATGAGCGATGCTGGTGGGCATTCCCCGCGTTGTCCCCCCTTCCCCTTCCTTCTGGTGTCTTCCGGGGACCCGAATAACCCAGCTATCTCGAAGGCGGGGAGGGCTGGTCTGATTGTGATGTCCGAAGGCGTCAGGCATGAGGGTCAGCCTCGATCAGCCTCGGTGCCGGATGAAATGTTTGGGGCTTTCGTGGGACAAGAAAAATGATCATGGTGCGACTCGCTCAACTCAAATGACAGGACTTTCAGAGCACGGCAAGTTCAGGTCGTGACGACCCCGGCAGTGGTCTCTGCCACCGCGTGGATAACTGCATTTTCAGGGACCGTGGCACACTGTGCCAGCAGGGACTCACGCTGCTGCTCATCCCCCTTGTCTCCTGCTCGATCCTCGGTTCCCCCCTCGATCCCCGGCTCTCCCTCTCGATCGCCATCCCCCTCTCGACCCCCGATCCTCCCCTCCCATCCTCGATCACAATCCCTCAACTCGATCCTCAATCCCCGCCCTCCATCCTCGAACCCCTCCCCCCTCGACCCCTGGCGCCCAATTGGAGCCTCGACCCCCCCCGCCCCCCCATCGACCCTCCAATCCCCCCTCCCTCCGCCGCCCCTCGACGACACCCCCCCCCTCAACGACCCCTCCTCGATCCTCAACCGTCGACCTCCCCCCGCCCCCCTCGACCACCCTCGAGATCATGCCCCCTCGACCACCGACCTAGACGAAGAAAAAACTGCATAAACACACACACACACGCACACACACAGACACACACACACACACACACACACACACACGCACACACACACACACACACACACACACACACACACGCGCACACGCACACACACGCACACACACACGCACACACACACACGCACACACACACACACGCACACACGCGCACACACGCACACGCGCACACACGCACACACACACACACGCGCACACACATACACACACACACACACACGCACACACACACGCGCACACACACACACACGCACACACACACCCACACACACACACACACACACACACACACACACACGCGCACACGCACACACACGCACACACGCACACGTTTGGCGCTCCGCGAGGATTGCTTGGATCCGCCCTGGACCCCCCTCCCCGGCGCGCGGAGCGCGTGAGGGGCGGCGCCCGCTTCGCCGCCGGGGGGGGGGGCAGAGCGCGGATCCAAGAGATCCGCGCGGAGCTCCGAAGGTTTCTGTCTATGCCTTCTTGTATCCCCTCGCCTAGATCCTCGACCCTTCCCCTCGATCCTCCCTCCTTCGACGGCCTCCCCTCGATCCTCGACCCCGCCCGTGGGGAACAAGACACACACTGTGGGAAAAAAACGCACGTGGGAAAAACACACACACACACACACACACACATGTTGGGGACAAAAACACACTGTGGGAAACAAAACGCACACTGTGGGAAAAAAACACACTCTGTGTGTGTTTTTTCCCCACTGTGTGTTTTTGTTCCCACATCCTCGACCCCGCACGATGCCCCCCCTCGCGCCCCGCGGGGCGGGCGGCGGCGGGCGGGCGGCCCGCCTGCGGAGCAGCATCCGCCTCGCCGCAGAGGCGCGCCCGCCCCGCGCCAGCGGCATCGGGTCGGAGAGCTGCCGGGCCAGCGGGAGCGGCTCGGAGAAGCGCCTTCGGCTGCCTCCTGCTCCTCCTCATTATCCTCCTCTTCCCCTGTCTCCCTCCTCCTCCTCCTCCTCCTCCTCCTCCTCGTCCTCCTCCTCCTCCTCCTCCCCTGTCTTCCTCCTCCTTCTCCTCCTCCTTTTTTTCCCCCTCCTCTTTCTCTTCCTCCTCCTCCTCCTTTTCCTCCTCCTTTTCCTCCTCCTTTGCCTCCTCCTCCTCCTCCTCCTCCTCCTCCTCCTCCTTATCCGCCCCCTCCTCCTCCATTCCTCCATTCCTCCATTCCTCCATTCCTCCATCCCTCCATTATTCCATTCGTCCTCCTCGTCCTCCTCGTCCTCCTCGTCCTCCTCGTCCTCCTCCTGTTTTTCCTCCCCCGGATTCTCTTCCTCCTCCTCCTCCTCCTGCTCTTCCTCCTCGTCCTTTCCCTCCTCCTCGTTCTCCTCCTATTTATTTTCCTCCGTTTTTTTTGTTGTTTTCTCCTCCTCTTCTCCTCCTCCTCCTCGTCCTCCTCCTCCCTCATATTCCTCGTCCTCCTCGTCCTTCTCCACTTCCTCCTCCTCCTCCTCTTTGGCGCCTTCGGCGCCTCGCCTCCATCGATCCTCGATGCTCACCCAGCGGCCCTCGATGCTCTCCCTCGGTCTTCCTGCCGCACCTCGGTTAAGACGGGGCCGGGACGAGGATGAAATCGGGTGGGATAAATTTAGAATCTCGGCTCTGGAAGATGTATCGGGCGCTGCGGCCTTTCCATATTATTCCAGAGCGCTCTCAAAAAACTCCGGAACGCTCTGGCACATATGCATCCTCCACCTAGCCCCGTCCGAACGGCCCTCCCTTGATCCTCGCTCGGATCGAACAGCGATGGGGGGGGGGTAGCGGGGAAGGGACCGAGGATCGAGGGAACTCAAATACCCTCTGACCGCAGCCAAGGGGGCGCTCGCACCAGAACGGGCCCGGCCAGGATCGGCGAGGTAATCGCCGTCGCCCGCCCGAACCTCCCCTCGGCCTTTGATCGTTCATCCGCTCTACCCCCGAATCCCCCCCTCGATCCTCGATCCTCCCCCGTCGATCCTCGATGCGATACCCCCCCGACCCGCGATGAGGTACCTCATCCCCCTCAATCGTCGACCGCCCACCCCCCGGATCCTCGAACCCCCGTGGATCCCATGCGGCCGCTCCGCCCCGCGCGCCGCGGTGGCCCCCACACAGCGCGCGACGGGCGCGCGGTTTTCCCTTGGAGGTAGGGTTCAGCTTTCTGGTCCGAGCAGCAGGGCGCGGGGGGCGGGGCCGATCGCCCCCTCGTGCTCCCAACGCCCTGTTTGGACGCCCGAAATGGGTACGGAAAAATGGGCACAATGCCCAACAACAGATGTTGTCCCAAACCAACAGCGGCCGCTGTTGGGCAGGCGGCCTTCTGTCTCGAACGGACACAGGCCGCGGCGGCGTGGACAGCGAGTCCTGTTCAAAACGAACAGGATCCGCTGTTGGGCATTGTGCCCGTTCTTTCCGTGCCCATTTCGTTCGCGCAGACCCTGGGTGCCGGCTTCTTCCCGCCTTTTCGTCCTGCTCGTCGTCTTCGGCCTCGTCACCGACCGCGATCAACTGCGCCGCCTTCGCCCCGCCTCCTCGTCTGCTCGTCGTCCTGCATGGTTCGGTTTCGTGCGTGTATGTGTTGCTCGGTGGTCCAGGATGGTCCTCGATGGTTGTCGCCGAGGAGGAGGAGGAGGAGGAGGAGGAGGAGGAGGAGGAGGAGGAAGAGGAGAGCGAGGAGGAGGAGGAGGAGGAGGAGGAGGAGGTGAAGGGGAGGAGGAGGAGGAAGAGGAGGAGGAGGAAGAGAAAGATGAGGAAGAGAAAGAGGAGGAGGAGGAGGAGGAGGAATGTGAAGGGGAGGGGGAGGAGGAGCTCGTGGCATCTGCCCTGGATGCCCGTGCTGGACGCCCGTGGCCGTCGTGGACGCCGTGACGCCAGGACGGCGCGGCGCCTCCGGAGCCTCGGGGCCCGGCGGCCGCGGCGTGCTGGGTCCGAGGGGCCACCCTCCCACCACCGGCACCAGGAGGAGGAGGAGGAGGAGGAGGAGGAGGGGGAGGAGAAGGAGGAGGAGGAGGAGGAGGAGGAGAAGGAGGAGGAGGAGGGGGATGGGGATGAGGAGAAGGGAAGGAGGAGGAGGAGGAGGAGGAGGAGGCCCTCCTCATCCTCCCTAGTTCCCCGTCGTGTATGCGGTAGTGGTGGTGGAGAGCTTGCGCATCGTGGGTCCTTGAGGGGCCCGGCGAGGCGGGATCCCAAGAGATCCGCCTGGATTCTTGGGGCCCGGCGGCTGCGGCATGCTGGGTGAGAGCGGCGGGTGAGGATCTCACGTCTTGAAACACGTTGGGAGGCAACTGCGTACTGGGAAGTCTTCGTCGGACGGATTAAGGACATGTGCGCCCCATTGGGAGGCTGCTACGACGGATTAGGCCGCGAATTGAGCGGGATAAAAACTGATGAAAGGGGAATCGTCTGGAGTAAGCGGGGTTAAGCCAGAAGAAGCCGGGTTTCGGACCACGGCAAACTCAGAATTTGGCCTCCCAGGAGCTGCACCCCAAAAAACATGAGAGAGCCCAGAACCTGTCGGGTGGGGAGCCACGGAGGGCTCTCCCCCCACGCTTCCTCTTCCTCGCCCTGGTCCCTCGTCCTCAGACCTCGCGAATCCGACAGATCTGTCTTTTTTCAGCGCGTCGTCCAGAATCGTTGTTTGACGTTCCCAAGGTCTGACGAGGGCCCCCCCCGGAGGCCGAACACCGCGAAGACATGCGCATCGTACTGTTCAGTACGGTGGCGGATGGGTCTCCTCCTCCTCCTTCTCCTCTTGAGCATGGTGTTGTGGCACGCGTCAAGGATTTCACACGATTGTCCCCCAAGGTCGAATTTTTCCCTCGTTAAAGCGAACCCTTGCAGGGGCCTGTGAAGAGGGAGCTTGGAGGGAGGGCGTGTTCCAGCATCGTTACGAAGTCTTGGGCTTACAACTGGCCATCGCTCGGACGTCCATTCCCTGTGCATTTTTGCTTTCCTGCGTGGCTTTTTCGCAAACTGATCAAGGATGCGCCCCCATGGTCCTCGCCAAAAGAAAAGTGCACACGTCCGAGCGATGCCAAGACAATGGCCCTCCTCCTCAGACTCCTCCTCCTCGTTCTCGTCCATTCCCTGCCCCCTTCAGGTCCCTTCTGTGCCATCGGCGCGGGGCCTCCGGGACTTGCTGACCTTCTTCAGCGGGGACTGCAGCTCCCGCCGCAGCTCGGCGGAGGAGAGGCCCTGGCCAGGGATACCCAAGAGCCTCGTGCTCGTCCCCCTCTTCTCCTCCTAGTCCCCACCATCCCTCCAGACTGCTCCTTCTCCCCCTCCGTCGCTCCCCCCCTCCTCCCCACCCCCTCCTCCCTCCTGCCTCCTGCCTCCTCCCCCTCCCTCGCCGCTCCCTCCCCTCCATCCCCTCTCCCTTGCTCCTCCTTCTCGCTTTCTCCTACTTCCCACCCCTCCGTCTGGAGGGCGCTGGAGCTGGCGAGCGCACCGGACGGGGAGCAGGGCAAGCGGCGGGCGGGCCCTCGGCGTCCAGCCCGCACTCCAGCCCGACTCGGTGTCCAGCTGCCCGATCATGAGCTGCGACGTTGCCGTGAGCGCCGGACGTGCGTTAGGGGGCCACATGATGCGAACCCTACCCCTACCCCCCACGATTTCTGATGGGGGAGGGCGGGGTTCACTCCGTTCGGGAGCCCCCCTTCAGAAATCGTGGGAGGTAGGGGTAGGGTTCGCATCAAGCTAGCCAGCTCGAGCGAGTCAAGCATGGCATGCCCATTCCCACCCGCCCCCCCCACAACATAAGAAGCAGTGATGGCACAACTGGGGGCTGCGCGGGCATTCCAGTGCGAGTGGAGGATCGCCCAGGACACCGCATCGACGTCCGCGCGGGATGAGCGCCGCGTGGTAGGGGTAGGGTTCGCAGGTGGCCCCCCTGGTGCGTGCGCTGCCACCGCGTGGTAATTACGCTCGCACCAGCGGTTGCAGCCCTGCGGCACGGAGTGCCGAGGGCCGGTTCCCGCAGGAAGGCCTGGCGCAGGCTCCGGATGGAGGCCTAGGGGGCCAGATGCGAACCCCACCCGAGGGGGAGGGTGGGGTTCACTTCGCTCGGGAGCTCCCGAACAAAGTGAACCCCACCCTCCCCCTCAGAAATCGTGGGAGGCAGGGGTAGGGTTCACATCTGGCCCCCTAAGGCCGCACTGCGCCGTGCCTTGCCGCCGAGGGCGAGGCAACTGAACAGCTCAACGGATCTCACCGGCTCGCGTTCTCTAAGGGTAGGAAGGCAACGACTATACACCAACACCGATCCTGGCCAGGATCACCCTGGGCCCAGGATCGGTGTATACGCCCTCCTGCCTTGGGCAAGAAGGCATATACACCGATCCCGGGCCCAGGGTGATCCTGGGCCAGGAACGGTGTTGGTGTATAGTTGGTGCCCTCCGAAAGGGACGCGAAAACGACCACAACCACTGCTTGTCTTTTGTTGCCGCCTTCCAGCCAGCAGAAACACAGCCATGGCTGTGGTCATTTTCGTTAAGCCTGGCACCGGGGAAATGACCACAACCACTGCTTCTTTGTCGGCAGGCTGGAAGGCGGCGCAAACAAGAAGCAATGGCTGTGGCCATTTTCCCGTCCCGCACGTTCTGGCCTGAATTCGCAGTGGTTTGTTTGCCACCGGTGTGGACGTTACACCACAGGCAGAGGCCCCAGGCACACGGTCCGCGCGTGCCCAGGACGGCCGACCAGGAAGGGCGTGGAAAATCTCGCCCGCATTCGGCGAGGTCTATTCCCCCGTCGTGAGGGGGCGCCGAAGGCGATCCTTCGTGCACGAGAGTTGCGAGTGAGTGAGGTCGTCAGTCGCCTCCCGATTTTGTGGCGATGTGGCTGATGTGGCTGATGTGGGACGGTCTGCGAGGAGAGTAGTATCCATCCCAGTCCCCAGGAGGGTGACGCACCTACAGGGCGGGGCGGGGCCATGTCGCACTCGGGACGTCAGCTCCGAGTGCGGGGTGGTTGCGCCTTGCCTTGGGAGCGTCTCCCGAATGGGCATCTGGGTAAACAAAACAGTCCAAAACAGTCCCACCCCCCCGTCTACTTTTTCCTCCCCACCCCTCCTCTCTGGGGCGGGCGGGGGGCGAGCGAATCTCACCGACCCGGCGCGGACGGGAGAGGGCCAGAGGGGAGCTGTCGGCCCTGGCGCTGGGGCTCTGGGGTGAGCCCCGTGGCCGACCCACACCGAGCAGGCCGGCAAACGGAACGTGCAATCAAAGCCTGGTAATTTCCCTCCTGCTCCTGCCCCTCCCCTTCCCGTGACTCGTTTCGTATCGTTTCGGTCGGCTTTGGCGAAGTGTTTCGCGGCCGTGCTCCAGCCTTTGTGCTGTCGTGCGTGGTCGCAGCTCGCAGAAGCCTGTCTCTAGCAAACCGTTCTTGCAAAGGGGGTCCGCGATGGTCTCCCTTCCCGTGACTCGTTTCGTTTCGTTTCGGTCGGCTTCGGCGAAGTGTTTCGCGGCCGTGCTCTAGCCTTTGTGCTCTCGTGCGTGGTCGCAGCTCTCAGAAGCTTGTCTCTAACAAGCCGTTCTTGCAAAGGGGGTCCGCGATGTTCTCCCTTCCCGTGACTCCACATCCTGTTGCTCTTCCACTACCTGGCTGTGTTTCCTCCTTCTCAACCTCTCCTGCCCTCACTTGGTGCTGCGACTCGCAGCGCATCGTCACAATGCACGGCAAGGATACGAGACCCTTGAGCGTCCAGATCGTAGCCCACCGCAACAGTTGACCCTCAAAGGCTGACTGGCGAAATGGGCAAAGGATGAAGCGAACCGGCAAGGACGGCGACTCGTCCTTACTGTTGGCGGCGACTGCTTCTTCGTAGCGATGGCAAGGGCCGAACACTACCCTCTGGAAAGAAACAGCGGGAGCAGCAGTAATGCAACCAGCCGCCGCAGGAGGGCGAGCAACAATAAAACTCCACCTACTATTCCATGCATCAATTGTGCTACTACGCAAAGAGCATGGAACATTCTTTCCACGATGCGAACGATGCAACCATCCGCTTGAGGGGGGCCGAACATGCTGACTGTACCCCCAAATGGGTGGCTGTAATTGGGATCCTCGGTCCGAATCGTTGTTGATGATGACGTTGTTTTTGCCGTCGGTCTCCCCCCGACCCGCGTCACGACCCACTCGCGAAGTGGCCGCGAGCGACCCTCGGCTACACGCAAGAATGACCCTGGGCAAGAGTAACCTTTCGTGCGCGGACGAAGGGCACGCAAGGTGGCCAAATCCAAGCACGCGAGCGGCCGCTATCGCATCGCGTTCAGCGATCGGTGGGACCCTGATTTACCAGCCTGGAGCATATCCCTATCCCTATGCTGGGCATCTCCTCATCACTATGCCAATCTTAGGGATTCCCTTATTTTTTTGGAGGGCGAATCCCTAAGATTGTCATCGCCTTTGGCGTGTCAATTTTAGGGATAGGGATACGTTCGAGGCTGTAGCTGGTGAGCCCGCACCCAAAGGTCCCTCTGGCGAAGGGTCACTCTCCCAGACATGCGGCGTCCTGATTTCCTCAGCACGGCGCCCCCGGAGAGCCGGACCCTTTCCCCACGGGGGCCGGGCTCTGACGGTCTCTGACGGCCTTGGGGCCCTCGACGAGGGCCCCCGAGGGCCGAAGATCGTGAAGAACCTGCGCCCCGAGTTCTCCACGACGCGGTCCTGACGGGGCTTACTGAAGAGGCCCTGGGACACTCAAATAAATCCCGTCAGGAGGGCTTAAAAATAGCACGCGACTTAAAAACCTATCCCAGAGCTATTCTACGTCTTGGTTTTAGACTGGTTCGTTTCGTGTTTTAGGTTTTCAGGTATCCAGTGCTAAAAAATAGCTCTCTGGAAGGTCAGGGTGGGAGCCCTCGCTGGGCCCGAAGACCGTCACAAAACGACGCGGGCTGAAAAACCTGCCCCAGGGAAAGGAGCGGGACTTCAAGGGACCCCGTATTGAAAAAATCAAGACGTCGCATGTCTGGAATCGCGTCGTGTCGACCCTGGCGTTGGTTCCTGACACCGCGGGGATCGTTCAAACTTGAACGATCGGCCGTTCCAATAACGCCGGACCGTTCAACGACGGGCCGATTCTGGGCCACGGGCAGCGTTCAACCTTAAACGCACGCGCTGGGGTCGCCGCCGGTCGACACGACGCGAACCTACCGTACCCGCCAGACCAACCCAACGCAACCCGAAGAACCGAATGTCGGGTGGGGGGGGTACGGGGTTCCAGATGTGCCTCCTCAATGTTCCCCGACACCCCCCCCACTGGAAATGCGGGGCACATCGAAGCTTAAGTCGGGCGTGTCCCCCTACAGGGGGATTTTGGGCGAAACATAGAAACAAATACCCCAAAACTACCCCAAAATGATCAAACATTGTTTTAAAAAAAAAAAAAAAAAAAAAAAAAAAAAAACCGTGCCCTGACATGTTTTTGCCTATTGTCGAATCTTCCCCCTGTAGAGGGACACGCCCGACGTAAATCGAAGCCCTCGGGTGGGGTCGTGATGGTGTGGTGGGCGGTGGCAGATCGGCGCCCGTGGGGGGGGGGCTGGCCGACCCGCCCGCACTGCTCTCAAGAGCGAGATCGGCGCCTGCACCAAATACGTAGCACCCCGCAATCACGACAACAACAACAAACAACAAACAACAAGCAACAAGCAACACACAACACACAACACACAACACACAACACACAGCACACAACATACAACACACAACACACAACAAACAACAAACAACAAACAACAAACAACAATCAACAGCAACAACAACAATAAACAACCCACGACAACAACAGCAACAGCAACAGCAACAGCAACAGCAACAGCAACAGCAACAGCAACAACAACAACAACAACAACGAGAATCCGCATCGCGGAATTCCACTTCAGCCACGCGCCCAAGGACAATGAATGACCGTTCGGTTCAGCCCCCTCGCTCTGCTCTACGCTCGAGCCTGCACTCCGAGCGGCTCGTGACGAGCCTGTGAGGAAGAAGGGATATCGACAAAAAGAATCACGAATGGCCGTATTGGCTTCCCCCTTCGATTCGAACAAAAAACGTGCTCCTGCCGTGTGACCTTGTGCTGAACGATGCCAGGGAAAACCGCCCATCCTGGGTTCAGCTCCTTTCCCTCCCCGTTCCTGTCATCCTCCAACTCCTCGTCCTCCTGCTCCTCCTCCGCCCTCTCCTCACCCCTCATCCTCTTTCCTCCTCCTCCTCCTCCTGCTCACTCCACTCACCCACTCACTTTTCACCCCGTCTGCCTCCCCCTCCGCGCGCTTCCGAAATCGTTGCGGGCCCACCCTGAGAGGGCGGCTCGGACTGCACGAGAACCAATGTGGCCAGGATTGCGAGCCAAAAGTGCCTGGCCCCTCATGTCCAGTAACAAGCATACGACTGGCAACTACTGCGGCTACTGCTGCGCCACCACGTCCGTTCAATCGGTCCCCATCTGGGTCCCAGGCCTGCCACGATGTTGAAGAATTTGGTCTCGGCAGCCGATCTCGCCCAGAGAGCGACCTCGGCAGCATCTGAAGTACCTCTCTCTTCCTCTACCCCTCTCTCTCTCTCTCTCCCTCCCTCTCTGGCCCCCAACGAGGGAGGAAGATGAGACGAGAAAAGGGCTCCTGCAGAAGCGAGCGGGACAGAGAGATAGCTAAATCTGTGTATAAAGGGTGAACATACGTAGAACGCGAACGAGAAACGACAGAGAAAGAAGAGGGAGAGAGCGATCGAGACAGAGGCATATTCAAATCAGCTAGGCCCTATCCTATAAGACGTACTCAATACACATGTGCTCCAGGTGCACTTTCAACATAGGACGCACACGCACATGTACATATATGTACATGTGTATATACGAATGTAAATATATGTATACATACATATGTGTGTGTGCGCCCCCCACACCCATTTATGTTGCATCGATACTTGAACTCACCATTCGTACACTTACTGGTCATCAAACTTCTGTTCAACCGTGCATGCTCATCCATCTTTCCTATTCGTCACTTCTCCGCTGCGTTCTCGTGCTGGGATCAATCTGGAGTCGGCTGGATTTGGAAGCTGCTAGAATCCCATTCGGTTTGAAACATAATCCACTTGGACACAGCTGTATCTGGAATCCGCTCAATTCCAATTCGAATCTAATTGGGCTCCAATCGGACTCCGACTGGTATCAGCTGGATCTGGGACCTGCTCAGTTCCAACTAGATTTCAAATCTGTGCGAATCGGAGTCAAATTGGAATCAACTGGGTCTGTGATCAATCCCATTCGTGATCCGATCCCAATTGTAATCCCATTAGAAACAGCTGTACCTGTGATCTGCCCCATCCCACTTGAATCCTAATTCGATTCCAATATGAAACAAATTGGAATCCGCTGGGCCTTGGATCTGTTCGATTCCAAACCGACTGTACTACCATTTCGATAAGACTATAGATCGAATCAGCTGGACCTGTGGTCTGCTCACTTTGAATTCGGTTATACTTCGATTCCAGTCCGAATTCCACTTGGGATCAGCTGGATCTGGGATGTGCCCAATTCCACTGATAGCCGAATTTACCCCCAATGGAAATCACAGCATAGTCAGCTGGACAGCTGCTCTATTGCACTTCGAATTGAATTCGATTCCAATCGGAATCAAACTTGCATCACCTGGATCTGCGAACTGCTCCATCCCAAATTCGGGGATGGACAGACCCCCCTTTAGTAAAACGTGGTTTAGTGAAAACGACCTGCGGCCCAAACCTGGCGGGCGCAAACCTGGACAATAACGGCCACGGAGCCCTCTCGAGAACCGAAAACGGACAATTCACTAATCGACGTGTCACTGTTGGGGGTTCTGTCCACCCCCGACAAAGAGCTTCAAATGAGATCCCACGAGGAGTCAGGCCCTCTCGCCCGCTCGCGTCCGATGGGCCCCCCTGGAGCCCCAGAACGATTCCAAAGTGGCCCAGGCGGGTCCCCAGGCATACCCAAGAGGGCCCCAAGACGACCCCAAGAGCGCCCAAGAGGGCCCTAAAGCACCACAGGAGGGCCCCAAAGCACCCAGACATACCCAAGAGGGCCCCAAAGCACCACAGGAGGACACTCCCTCGTTGCTCGTCGTCCTGCAAAGTGTTCCGAAGAAGGCCTCCAGAGCCTCACAGAGAGCCCCAACATGGTCCCAAAATGGCCCCAAGAGGCGCGCAGGCGACCCCGAGAAGCCCCCAAGACTCGCCCAAAGGGCTCCAAAACGGCCCCCCGAGAGGCCCCACGATGTCCCACACCCCCTGTCTGCGCAACTTGTTTGAGCATCGTTTTGGGATGGACAAATGGGGCTGTGAGAAACGCCAAGCATGCACTGATCCGCCGACCCCCGCATGCTGGGGGTGAAAAGGCGTGTAAGAAAATTGTGCGGGGGGGTCCGTACGAGCTCGTCGATGCCTTCCCGGGGCCTCCAGAACCTCTCCAAATGGGCAAGAACCTTCAAAATACACCACAGAAGCGCCACGACAATCCAAAAGAGCGTCGAAACGGCTAACAATAGTCCCTCGTTTCGAGACGGCCCACGACGCTCCGAAGACGGCCCAAGAAAGCTCCAAAGAGACCGCCGACAAGGAACTACGAAGCACACATCGCCCCATGCGTTTCGCAACACGTGCCTTGTTTAGCATGCTTGCGTCATCCGTCGGAACAGAATCCAAGACGGCTGACAGGGCCCCCTCGAGATGTTTCCAAAGCGGCCGACGAGGCCCCCAAGACGGCACACCCAAGAGGGGGAGTCCAAACCGATGTTTCGAGCGTGTTCCGCCAAGACGGTCCCAAAGAGCCCCCCGCGAGGCCCCCCCCCCGAGGCGCCCCCACAGGGGCCCCAACGCGCCTGCAAGACGACTCCAAAACCCCCCTGACAGGGCCCTCGCGAGGCACCCAAAGCCCCAAAATGCACCCCAGGAGCCCTCGAAGAGGCCCCAGAGACGCACCCGAAGAGCCCTCCACATCCATCCAAGAGGTTCCAGGCCAACGGCCCACACCTGGCGGCGGGTTGGGGGCGGAAGGCCACTGGATCCCTCCCACGATCGCCGCAGGCTCTGACTCCTGCTGGGGGTCGGCGGAGCGGCGTAAGCCTCTTGAAAGAGTTGCGGTTGGAATCGCAGCCGCCCCCTTCGAGGCCGCCCAAAGCGCTGCGTGTCCAGACGAATTGGACATACGTCGTATCCCCGCATGTGAAATTCAGACGTCCTAAGATTGACTCCAAAACCAAACCTGGCCCAGTACCATCTTTAGAATGTCCGCTCACAATTATATCTCGCGCATCGCACTGCGACGCCTACGTCCATCGCTGCCCGTATCTAACTAAAGTTTCCCAATCGTGTGCACCTGGCCGGTATCTGCAACTCGTTACGCGATAAGGATCTGCATGCACATGACGCGTCAGTAATCAATGCTGCTGTGATGGATCGCCCGCCTCATCCTCAGATGTCTCGAAGGGCTTTCGGCATGAATGGACCAGACCTGAATTCTCGCAGGGTGACCGAGGTCGGGTGACATTCGTTCATATTGTGAGTCGCTGCGAATGCTTCTGCCACATACCCTGGTCGATCTTGTGGCCGGTGAGATTTGCACAGACCGTATGTATTACGACGGGCGCAGGATTTGGCGAGCTACCCCGCCTCACCAGATTGGCACCGCGTACACTAAATCCAATGCCAACCTATTATCTGTGTCGACGGTGAAGAATTCTGTGTCCCGAATCGCTTTGGGTATGAACTGCTCCGGAAAGTTGCATCATGGGGTTACCGGTCTTCTTGGGGTCACTCCTGCGCTTCCTCGTCGCAGCGCTGAAACAAACCTGGATGTTTCTGCACCTTTTATGGGGGTGCATTATATACACCATCAGCCAAACTTTTGTGAGGGGCGCGTGAAGGAGGGCCCCCCGTAACGAACGTGTCGGCTACTATACGCGAAGCCTGGTGGCCAAGCTTGGCTCCAATAGGACCAACATGTACGATCGGGCGAGATTGTTTCTAGAATTTAGCTAGGGCAAGTCCGCCGATCTGGCGTGTGAGCTTGACAAAGTCTCAGCTACAGCCTACAGCTTAGAGCCTGAGCTTCAGCCCTGCTGAAGGGGGGGATGGGGGGGGAAGATATGTGGTCCGCTTTCCGGGGGAGGCTTCTCCAGGCCCGCGAGAGCCCCAAGACGGGCCAAGAGGGCCCTAAGACCCCCCAAGACGGGCCCAAAGCCCCCGAGACGCCCAAAGAGCGCTCCAAGACGCCGAAGATGACCTCCAGACGGCCCAAGAGGCCGCCGAGACGCCCCAAGAAGCCTCCAAGAGAGAGGCCAAAATCATACATGTTACGATGGTTTTGGAAGGATTCTCTCCTTCCTGCCTTTTCGGCTTCCCGACGCTCCAAGACGGCCCCAGAGGCCCCCAAGATCGCTCCAAGACGGCCCAAGAGGCTCCCAAAATGCCCCCAAGATGGCCAAAGAGCGCCCCAAGACTGCCCAAATTACCTCCAAGACGGCCCCAAAGGCTCTCAAGACGGCTCCAAGAGGGGAGCCAGACGGTGAACCCGAACGGAATTTCGAGCCCTCGGCCTCCAGAAGCCCCCTAGAGGTCCCAAGAGGCCCCCAAGAGGCCCCCAAGAGGGCCCCAAGAGGTCCCAAGAGGCCACCAAGAGGCCCCTAACAGGACCCAAGAGGCCCAGAAGAGGTCCCCAAAAGGCCCAAAGGAGGCCGCGAGGGTCCCCACAACGGCCCCCAGGATGCCTCAAAGTGCACCCATGAGGCCCCGGAGACACCTAACAATAGCATCAAAAGCGCCCCGGATCGGCGGCACTGGCCGGAGGCCACTACAATATTGCGTCTGCGTTTTTCGTTTGAGGGTATATCAGTCCATCCTTGCTGCACGCATGGTTGCTCAACGCACACGTTCCAAATACTTCCTCCACAAGTGTGGCATAAACGCCGATGTGTCTCCTCCAAGCCCGTCATGTTTATGTCATCTACGTGCGTTGATGTCAGCCGTTCGTTTCCGTTTTCAAACTCCTGGTCGAAAATCGTGGGCTGGAGACCGAGAATGCGAGTTGTGATCCGTAGCTTCAGGGAGGAAACACGCGGAGCGTCCGTTGTGCCAGTACTTGGACCCAGGCAGAGGGGGCATCGCCACCTTTCGGTGTAGATGCCAAATCCTGGCAGTGAGCGAAGAATCTGCGCGCGGCCACGCGGCAAGGTGAAGCACAGCATGCGTTCCTGCTACTCAGTGGCTTCCATCAACTCGGCATCGGTCAGCCCTTTCCACGATGCCGAATCGATGTCCATGGAAGCTTGTATCCAATTTGGATGGCAAGCCAATAAGCTAACCACACGCTGATGAGGCCGAATTGCACTAGGAACTAGTTCAAATGTATTCGTTAACCGTCGGATGCTCATTGGGGGTCTCAGATCCGTTTCCCCTCGAAGGAACGTATATCAAGACAGCTTGTTTCCAAACGTGTCAGTCGTAGGACAATTCGGGCTGCTGGCGTAACTTGTAAA